TAAACTAACCTGGAGAAAAATGTTCAGTGTATGTTAAACTAACCTGGAGAAAAATGTCCTGTGTATGTTAAACTAACCTGGAGAAAAATGTCCAGTGTATGTTAAACTAACCTGGAGAATAATGTCCAGTGTTTGTTAAACTAACCTGGAGAAAAATGAACTCTGTCTCTCCGTTAGAAGGAAAATATGTTCTAGTAGCTTCCCACCATCCAGATACTAAAAAAATATTCTTCTTTACTTCAATGTTTTATAAAAAAAAAGGTTGTTTAGCAACTTTTTAGGATCCATCCGTCAAATAAATTGAGTCTTTGCCCCAAACTCTGAATTTTTTAATAACTATTTCTTGGGAACCAAATAACGCAATGTCTTATAAATTAATATTTTTGAAATTATGAATATTAATATGATCAAATAATCTATATTTGAAATATCAAAGGTTTACACCATCAAGTTCAAAGATATGAAGATTAGAAAATTTGAGTTTGTTGCAAATACTCAATTCTTTTGTTTAATGACAAATTCAAGAGCAAACTAAAAAAACTATTTTCCAATAAATGTTGAAAATTCAAAATGGTTTATGCCATATTATGTAGTAATTTTAGATAAAGGAGTTCAGTTTTTGCGCCAAACTCTGATTTTCTAATCTCTAAATCTTTGTAACCCAATGTCGTAAACCTTAGATATTTCAAACTATTAATACTTAGAGATAAAATAATTTAAATTTGAAATATCAAAGGCGTGCAGCATAAGATTGTAAAGATATTGGAATCAGAAGATTTTAGTTTGTTTTTAGAAAACCTTACTTTCTGATTCCGGATTCATCAACCACTCAGGTTTAAACTCCATCCTGAGTCTAGATAATCCAACTATACCCAGAGTCAGGAAGCTCAGGGTGCACAGGAGAACTAGAACCTTCATCACCTTTGTCAGCAGCAACTGAGTAAACAAACCAAACAACCTAAATTAGGAAAATTTTCAAAATTAAAATTATTTTATCCTAAATCTGAAGAGGAACTGAGTTTTTGACAAAAATTTAAATTTTCTAAATCCTAAATCTTTACAATGTAAACTTTTCAAACATTTGTTCTCACAGAATTCATATCGAAGGTCTACGACATCGGGTTAAAAAGATATAGGGGTGAGAAAATCAGATTTTGTAGCAAAAACTAAATTCATTTCCAGTTATAATAACGAAACAACGTTCATGAATTCTACTTCAGTTGCTATTACTTACTTCTCCATAAGAGGTTCCTGAGTTTTATCCCTTCTTGTAAAGTTCTTGTGTTCGTAACAACAAATTAAACCGTTTCTTCCCTTATTCACTCTTTTCTCGTCCAGGAAGAGAAGCGCTGTAAACCAGCTAACCTTAATTACATTCAAATAAAAAATGTTAAGAATAGAATTAAAAAAGTTTTTACCTGGAGGAGAAATATGACAAATATTCCTACACCAGCATACACACAGAAGGATCTAAACATACGGGGCATTGTAGATATGTCATTATAACCATCTTTATTAAGATCATCATTACCGAAAACTATGTTAACTTTCTCATTTTTACTCTAGTAATTCTAGAATTTGTTTTCAGGGGCGTATAAAGGCATTTTTCCAGGGGTGAGGGCTTAAAGTTTTTTTCTTTCTTGGGGGGCTCATCACTCTTTGGGATCCAAAAAACCAGTGGAAACCAAAAATTTCACTGATCCTGAATACGCCTCTGTGTTGTTATCGTCGCAATGTTTAAATAACATTCAATACCAATTGATTACCTAAGAGCTGGAAGACTAGTTGTTGCTCCAATGCTAAAAGCAATGAAATCTGTGAGAGAAGTGATGGTGATAGCAACGCCTGCATGAGAGAGAGCAACACTAATCCTGTCCTCCAGCTCCAGGTTCTGCTCACTGCTGGAGAGGGTAGAGAGGGTCTGGACGATGACAAACATGTCGTCTATACCGATACCTAGGAGAAGGAAAGGAAGAACAGTGTGAGCTGCGCTATAGAAGAATCCAACAGCTGAGCAAATTCCGTAACTATAAGAACCAACTCATTGATCATTTACCCTTTAATAGTTTAGCGTGAGTACTTGACTAGGTTAGCGTGAGTACTTGACTATAGGTTAGCGTGAGTACTTGACTAGGTTAGCGTGAGTACTTGACTATAGGTTAGCGTGAGTACTTGACTAGGTTAGCGTGAGTACTTGACTATAGGCTAGCGTGAGTACTGGGAAGCACTTTTGCAATTTAATCAGAAAAGGAATACATTCAACCTTGAACTAATTAAAAGATTTATTAAAATTAATAAAATTAAAACGTCTAATTTGGTTAAAAAGAAAGATAGAAAAAATTTAAGACGAGTAATTTTAAGGAGCATTTTGGCAGTTGGTATAAACTCCTGATGTTTAATTAATTATAGCAAAGAAGGTTAAACAACATGTTTAGTGACCATTGTTAACAAACCTATGTATAATATGTATCTATAGATCCCATTTTTCAAGTTATAAAAAAAAACTACGTTATCCTTCACAATACTGATACTAAAAGGGTTTCCGCGTACCGCGCTGTGAATCAGGCATGCCCAGATCTCTTAATGGATGTTGGCAATCTATGTTGAAAGAATTACAACAAAAAAGGTTTAAACATGTTTTATGGACAAACAAAACCTTTGTGGAATATGTATCTATATGCCATTGCGTTTTAGGGTAATTCGAAGAAGACCCAAAATTTGTTTAACCATGAAAGTAATTGAGTCTTTGCCACAAACTCAAATTTTCTAATTTCTATATCTGTGCAACCTGATTGTGTAAACCTTTGATGTTTCAAACTTAGATTATTTGATCTAACAGAATTCTTAGTTAAAAATAGCTAAGTTCTACGACATTGGGTTGCAAAAAATAGAGTTCATTCTTATTTTATTGTTGAATCTTTACGAGAATCTTCAAGTCAAAAATGATTTGGCTACACTTTTCAATTTATAATTGAACAAGAATAATTTTGAATAAATTTTAAAAAATAAAAGAGTTTTAGATAGATTGAGTCTGAGTTGATTTCCTGGCAACAATACCGAACCCTACTCCGAGCACTCCTCCAATACTCAACCAGATTTTCTGCTCAACACAACTAAAATTCATCAAAATAACATTTCATGGGAAAATATTTCGGGAAAAAATAATTTCACACAATAGATGATGCACAGTTTTGTTGGGAATTGCATTTATTGAGTTTCTGGGAAATGCAGTAAAATGCATATCTAGTAATATCATCCTACACACTGCAAACATTATACCCTATACCTATATATATACATGCATTTCATTGAGGATTTAAAACCCANAATTAAAATACTTTTGTTTGAAGCCGCAATTTTTTTTTAATATAAAAACTATGAATTTTGCAGATTTTTAAAATGGATTTCCAAAAATTTTAAGAATGTACAGAAGGCAAAATTCTTTCGGGCGGCCGTAAACCTTTCCATGGGTACCTGGGGTCATGTGAGGTACCACGATAAAATTAAACCCTTTCGATTCAGTCAGTCGTTTTGACGATTATTTGACACAAACATGTAAACACTTAAACCCACCTAGCCAAGCCAAATATATATATAACCTGAATGTTCCAAGCATAACCAGGACGTAGAGAAGAACAATAAAATAGCCAAGGATCAACATTTTCGCATCTTTAAAGGCCTGACCTTCAAGGGACTCTAAGAACATTCTGGAACAAGGTCAAACACGTCAAATACCTTTTCTAAGTCAAGGACTAAATAGGAGGCTTTGGGGTTACAAGTACTGATGGCATCGTTTTGAAATCCATTCAAGGTTTTTTTTTGTTTAAAGGTGTACAAAAAGAATCTGCAAGATTTATAACCCATTACACAATTCGATTTTATATCAGTTTTATTTTATTACATTATTCAAATGTTTTCTCTCACTCTGACCAAAGATATTAAAAACGGTTTACCAATCGTTTTGAAAAATATCTTGTGTCAGCTTAACATTTTTGCATAATGTAAACAAGCAAACTTCACGAACATACAATTTTGTATGGGATAAACAGACTCTTTTAGACCCTCTTAAAAGTAAAAACTTGAATATTTAAAACGGGCCTCCCATCAGTGTTCACAAAGAGGGAGGAAAAATTGGGGGCTAAATATGATGGCGCTTAGGATGTCTGTTATAGCGAAGGAGCTAAAGAAATGTTTTGAAGGGAAAATTATAGGGGGAGGGGGAGGCGATGGTCTTGCGTTACCCGAGGGAATGGAAAAGATTAAAGAGGTTTATGGGGAACAAATGTGTGTTACGAAAGAAATCGGAAAAACGATGATTCATCAGTTGCTTTTTTTGAGGTGCTTGATTTCCTGTGAACGTGGACAAAGACAGAAACGTTTGAGTATTGTGATCTGTCAGTTAGAGCTTCAATCATCTCTCCTTCAAACTCATGAGAGAACTCATCTACTAGTTCTCCTCTCTGGGCTGAACCTCTAAATATTAGATACAAGGTTATCTATTGGAGAACTGATCTACTAGTTCTCCTCTCTGGGCTGAACCTCTAGATATTAGATACAAGGTTATCTATAGGAGACCTGATCTACTAGTTCTCCTCTCTGGGCTGAACCTCTAGATATTAGATACAAGGTTATCTATTGGAGAACTCATCTACTAGTTCTCCTCTCTGGGCTGAACCTCTAAATATTAGATACAAGGTTATCTATAGGAGAACTCATCTACAAATTCTCCTCTCTGGGCTGAACCTCTAGATATTGGATACAAGGTTATCTATTGGAGAACTCATCTACTAGTTCTCCTCTCTGGGCTGAACCTCTAGATATTAGATACAAGGTTATCTATAGGAGAACTCATCTACTAGTTCTCCTCTCTGGGCTGAACCTCTAGATATTGGATACAAGGCTACCTATAGGAGAACTCATCTACTAGTTCTCTTCTCTGGGCTGAACCTCTAGATATTGGATACAAGTCTACCTATAGGAGAACTCATCTACTAGTTCTCCTCTCTGGGATGAACCTCTAGATATTAGATACAAGGCTACCTATAGGAGACCTGATCTATTTATCTGCATACTCTTTAGTCTTTGATTGACTCTAAACCTATTTCTAAGAACTCTTTGAACATCATCAAACGAACATTTTTTTTTACCTTAGTCTAACGTTTGTCATATTAACTTGAGATAGCCAGGATATTGTTGATATACCAGCTCCAACTATCCGTCCTGTACTATCATATCTAGAATAGAAATAATAAGATTAAAAGTTTTTAAGCAAAAATGTAGATTATTAAAACCTGATATTGCTGAGCATCTTTTTAAAATTCTTTCCAACCATGAACACCCCGCTGGTGTTCTTCATGTTTATGGTTTCAAGCACATCATCCAGAGTCAGGTTTCTGAAAATATTTATTATAAACAAAAATGTTGTTCTATTAATTTCTCTTCGTCCTGACCTTATAATTTGCTCAGATTTATCTCCAATTTCTCCTTCTATCCCCCATAGTTCAAGTATACTCTCCTTCAGAAAAAAAACATTTTAGGACAATTTTGAATATTTAAAAACATGTTAATATGTTAGAATAGAGGATAAGCAACATGTTAACATGTTAGCATAGATGATTAACAACATGTTAACATGTCAGGATTGATGATTAACAACATGTTAGAAAGATAAAAAAACATGATGAATGAATATTTAAGATTTCCCAACCTGAAAACAGACTGTTTCCGCTTGTTTCACCATTGAACAGTAAGGTTCAGGATAGAACTCCCGACTCAATGATGTCGCTAGGACAAAATGAAATATCAAACTTAAATATTTTAAAACTGTACGACAATGAACAAAATTTGGAATTAAAGCATGAACTAAAAAATCAAGAACATGAAATGGTTTAGAAATCAAAAAAGAAATTAAAGATTATGAGAACTAACCTAGTTCAACGGAGAAATGTCCTGAGCTGACCGCAGCTCCGACCTCAGCTAGTTTATGGAGAGAACTAAGACTTAGGGTAGAGAGATTAAACCCTTGACATGAATCAGTTTGGGTCAAATCCTCTCCCCAATCCTCCTCCGCCAACCATTCATCTGGATCCTCCAAAACTCTGTCCTCCGACCTCTTCCTTCTTCTCCTTGCTGTCCCAAGAGACCCAAGACATTTAGGTTTAGCTATGATAGGAACCCTGAAACCAAATCTGTCTAGTCGGATTAATTAAAGGTTTTAAAGAACCATGCTGGTTGTTGGTCCTGAAGGGATTGTTCAGATAGTGTTAAATATGTGCTTTTCTTTAACTGTGCTAGATTTTTACCCTGAAAGAATTGTGGCCCAAAAATGAACTAACTTAAGGCACATCACTTTGTGTGATTGTAAGTGACTGCTTGCTGGGACAAGGACTGAACCAGGGAGTAAGGAATAGAAGGGAGATATAACTGACGCGGTTCGCCCTACCATATGATTATACATACTTTGCAGACGGGTACTTCATTTGAATAAGAAATATTTGTCTGATGTACATTTACTGCGTATATAATAACCTGTTCTGAATATTTCATATACAAATGGAGTACCCGTCTGCAAAGCATCTATAATCATAGGTAGGGCGAACCGCGTCAATTATATCTCCCTTCTATTCCTCACTCCCTGGACTGAACAGTTAAAAGTCTGGGGCACTTACACACAAAAGATTAGACTACAACAGAGACGGCTAAACAGAATTTAAAAAGACCTTTGTCTTACAGAGTTGGTTACCAGCAACTTAAAACTTGTTTCTTTCTTTTAAAGGCTATACTTCAAGGCAATTTATCTTGGCTTTAGATAATTATTAAATGAGTTTAGGTCGCCAAAACATATTATGCTTGAAGATTGATTTAGTTTTATTTAAGGAATTGAGTTTTTGCAACAAACTCTTATTTATCAATACCTATAATTTTGCAACCCAATATATTGATATTGAATACATAGATTATTTCATCTAACAGAAGTCATAATTCGAAATATCGAAGGTCTCCGACACAGAGTTGTAAAGATAAAGGTATTAGAAAATCAGAGTTTTTGGCAAATACTCAATTCCTTTACCTGAAGCAAATATCCTTCCATGTTCTGCCTGATCTAGTTCTGATATGTTTAATCCTATTAAGCACTTCAAGCATCTGAATGAGAACTCCAGGTTCTAGAACATTCTCAGCTCGGAATATAACCTGATGAAACCTGAAGGATAAGAGACAATTAAAATTTATTCTTTTCTTTGAAAATACATCGTTAAATTTTAACAAAAAAGCAGATTTAAAGGGATTTAAAGTGACTTTAAGGGTAATTTCAAGAGCAAAGTGCATGCAACAATATCAATGCCGATTCACAACGGTACCATTAAAAGCTTTGTCTGATCAAGTATCAATTAAATATTAGTGTGTTTCTCAACCTGAGGCCGAATTTAAAGAATTTGAGCCGCGGCTTAAATCCACCAAAACCCGGTTTAAATTAAGCGCCGGCTTAAATCTTGTAACATTTGATACAACTTAAAGTGGAACCAACCATATTTAAGCCGCGGCTTAAATTTAAGCCGCCGCTCGAATTCTTTAAATTCGGCCTCTGTTTATTTTCATTTGCGGTTTCTCTGCCAAAGTGACTTGCGCATTTCTTGCTAATAAGATGTAATAGAGAAATTCAGAGAATTAAATACTTTTAGAGTCATTAAAATGACGTTATCATCTACATTATTGATTAGATTAAGGTTTAAAGATACCATTGAATTAAAAATTGTCGTTTTTGCATGGAGGGTCACTTGAAATTACGCGTACAGTCCCTTTAAAGAGAGTGTTCTGCAGTTTAGATGGACTAACTACGGATAAATCGGTCCTGTTTTTATTTTCTCTCACTTTGAAAACCACACTTAATTATTTTCTACGAAGAGAAATATTATTATAAGATATGAATTCCAAGAAAAGACTTAACTTTGTTTTTGTGGAAAGGTTTGCTGGATCCAGTCATACTTGATCTTGAATTCAGATGTTTGGGGAATCCATAGAGCTGCTAGATCAGACTCTTCGTAAAACCTGGAGAAAATCTAGATCAAATCTGGAGGAAATCAGGGGGAGATCTTTAGGAAAGGAATTGAGTCTTTAACACAAACTCTGATTTTCTAATCACTATATCTTTGGAACCAAATGTTGCATACCTTAGATATTTCAAACTATGAATTCTGTTAGATCAACTAATCTGAGTTTGAAATATCAAAGGTTTACAACGTCGAGTTCTAAAGATATTGTGGTTTAAATATTTGATTTTGTTTCAAAGACTCAATTCCTTTTAAGCAAAACTGGAGAAAATCTTGAAAAAAACTTGAGAAAATTTGGAGGAGATCTTGATCAAATCTGTAACAAAACATGATGAAATCTTGATCAAAACTGGATAAAATCTTGTTCAAAACTGGATAAAATCTTGATCTAAACTGGATAAAATCTTGATCTAAACTGGATAACATCTTGATCAAAACTGGATAAAATCTTGTTAAAGACTGGATAAAATCTTGATCAAAACTGGATAAAATCTTGGTGAAATCCTGATCAAAATTGGAGAAATTCTTGATAAAATCTTTAACATAACAGGAGAAATCTTGATTAAATCTTGAACAAAACCGGAGAAAATCTTGAACAAAACTGGAGAATATCTGAAGGAAATCTGAGACAAAACTAGAGAAAATCTCGACAAAAACTTGAAAAAAAATTTGTGGAAATCTGGAGGAACCCTTGATAAAATTTACAACACTAGCCTTAAACGGCGCTTCGCGCCCATCTTCTAAATTAATTGTGAACATGTTCTCTTTCTGTACATCGTAAAACAAAACAAAAATAATTCGCGGATTTTCACAAAAAATTTCGCGGATTTTCAAAATTTTNTCTTTCCATCTTTCCTTGTTCAATTTCGACAAAGAGTAAAACAGATTTTCCCCCTTCCTCTTTCAACTTCAACAGAGAGTGAAAACCTATGAGATAGTTTAAAATTAGAAGGTAAAATAATGTACAGCTTCCCCTGCTAGAATAATACTAATAATAATATTAGTAATAATAATAATAATAATAATAATAATAATAATAATAAAAATAAAAATAATAATAATAATAATAATAATGATAATAATAATATCAATAAAGTCCTACCCCCTGGGTTTGCAAGGTCCAGGTTTGCTCTGGTGTGTAGAGGGACTAGAGGGACTAGATGGACCTGAAGTACCACCTGGACCAGGAACAGGTGCAGGACAGGAACTGTGAAATTTATCACCAGGGTCGGATAAGGATCCTGTAAACAAATATTGAAAATAGAATTTTGAATTTATATATTGTCTGAGATCGTGTCTTCGAATTAAATATTTTTAAATAGTGGAAATTATAAGAAAGGTGATAAAATGTTATATTTATGATTTATATGTATACACTTATCCACGTCAAACTAAAGTTAATTAATTGTTATATTTTAAATGTTTTCAATCATAAGTCCTCTTCTTTAAGGGCAATTGAGAAGAAGAAAAGTGTTTTGAATAAATAATATGCAGCTGGATATATTTTGCTTTTCTTTAGAAAGTTCAGTGTGTAGCTTCTCTGTCTGTTTGTTAATGCACCCATTACAACGTCAAGAGCCTGAACCGAAATATCGGGGCCAGTTTTTTTGTGATCACAAGACCCCAGGGTAGTTTGAAGGCTGGTCGATGTTGAACAATTTTATAAAAAAACTGTTCGACATTTATGATTTTTTAAATTGCACCAATTAACACAAAAAATCTGCGATTATATGAGAAGGATTAAAAATGCTGAGTTTCAGAGCAGCAGTAAAAAGCTAAACTTGAAAACCTTGTTATCTTAAATTTTTATAGTTTAAAACTGTAAAACTCTGTTATAAAGTAGAAATGCGAGAATCCGTAGAACTGTAAAATCAGTGAAAAGTAAATCAATATTTTAGTCATCGATAGTTTTAAAATGATTCATAAAACTTATGTTTACTGTTCATAACTTACTAGGTGAAGTACCCGGCGTTGTCCGTGGAATTTAAAAATCAAGCTTTGAAAAAATTTCAATTTTTTTTAGCCGTTGTTACCCCCGAAGTACTCAAGGGTTCCCCCCCCAAAAAAAAAATTCAGCCCATTCGGTCCAGCCGTTTGTGATATATACAAACAAATACATATATTTATTATATAGTTTCTACAATCAGAAAACTATTAGCTTTTAATATTCTTTTTAAAGAAAGAATTTCAGTAAATTTAATATTAATATATTATTTTGTCTCGTTACTGGCGTATTGCATATGTATTTTGTATATTAGCGGACAAGCATGAATTATTTATGTAGTAAATTTATTGCGAGCCAAAGGCTACGTAATGTAAAACTGTATCAAACGTAAATGACTTTCATTACATTTTTGACTAATTTAAATTTTAAAAAACCTTGTTTATTATAGTCAATTGAAGATGCATTTAGATACGTTTAAAACATCATCCAATAATTTATTGACAAATCAACCTAAAGTTAACAAATTTGAGTTTAATTTGAAATCTTGTTTTTTTAATAAATCTTTATTCAAGTAAACTTATTAAATGACTAGATGAAAGAAATGTTGATTTAAAAAAGTGTGTAAACAAACCTGAAATACAAGAAAATATGTATTTCTATTTAGGGAAAAAAAGATAAAAAGCAAATAGACTAAATAAGGGGTGAAGAGTCCTGTGAAAGAGGTGTGGGTATAGGCAGGAGAGGGAGGGATAAGGGAGCTTGATGGGAAGGATAGTGTAGAATGGAGGTGAGGGAGTGTAGAGTGACAGTACTGCACTGTACTACACTGTACTGTACTGCAATGCACTGTACTGCACTTTACTGTACAGTGCTGCCTGTACTGTACTATACAGTGCTGCACTGTAATGTACTGCACTGCACTGTACTGCACTGCACTTCACTGTACTGTGTGCAATGTAATTCACTGTCCTGTACTTTACTATCGTGCAATGTACTGTACTGCACTGTACTGTAATGTACCGCAATTTACTGTACTTTCCTCACCTGTAAAAGCATCATCTTCTTCATTAATATCTTCCTTGTACTTTAAACTCAAGCTTTCTTTCTCCATTATATTCTATAAAAATATATTATACGCTAGGATCCAGGAATTAAATAGAATACTATACAATGCATGTTTAACATAATTTCAGGCGACCCTTCATGCAAAGATGGCAATATCCGGTTCAAAACGGTACCCTTGAAACCTTCATCGATCAAAAATAAGATATTGTCGTTTTTCTAGCTCTGAAATTGTTAATTCTGATCATTCCTCCTACATATGTTTTCCTTTTGTTATAGAAATGCGCAAGTCAATTTGTAGGAAATAATCAGTTTTCAAAATTATAAACATTTACGAATATTTTGAATAAGTTTCTTTCCTATTTTCATCCCCCCCCCCATATTTTGTTTAATATGTTTATATTTGACCTCAAAATAAATTATTTTAAGATGTCAAAAGCTCGCATCCAGCTTCAACAAGAAATTGAATTTTTATCATATATTTGCTGTGACTTTAAACTTTTTTACGCCCTTTATGCGGGTTTTCTTACTAGTTAAAACTGGTGTTAATGCACGAATACAATTTAAAATATGCATGAACATTAAATATACATTCTTATATATATTTTGATCTTTTTTACATTTTTTTTTCAAAGGCATAATGTTCGGGAACGTTCTGTCAGGTACGGGGGCTTGGGTGCACTTCTTTTGATTGAAAAACTGAAAAGTTTTCCTCATTATACTTTTTAGAGGTAACTTGGTAAAGACAGCTAAAAGTTGCATTCCCTTGGCAAAACCTTCACTGTTTTAAGAACATAGTTTTCAGTTACTCATTATACTTTTTAGAGGTAACTTGGTAAGGACAGCTAAAAGTTGCATTCCCTTGGCAAAACCTTCACTGTTTTAAGAACATAGTTTTCAGTTTTATGTTCATGCAAAATATATGTTAGACGTTTATTTATTTTTTTTCGGATTTCTTTGTACAGCACTGAACGAAATCATTTTGCCGATTTTCCCGGTTTTATCGCAGATTTCGAGAAACCCGTAGCTGCCCATGAAAGCTGTTTTGTAAAAGATTTCATAAAAGGCTTCGCCCGAGAAGTTCAGAAATTTTGACGTTAAAAAAACTTACAGACAGACATATAACGCAAATAAATGCAGAAGTCTAATTTAAATGTGATTAATTTTAATTGTTAAGACTAAGAGTTTTTTCTCGGTTTGTTCTGAAATCTTCTGAAAACGAAATATTCTTAGAAATCTGATACATTGAGCCTAGCTTTGAAAGGTATATTTTTTATGCAATTTGATTTTTTCTTTCTATTTGCAACTTAAATATACTACTAGCTCAAGAGCCCGGCGTTGCCCGTGGATTAAAAAATTGAAAAAACATTTTTTTTAAAATTTCATCTTGAAAATTTTTTTCATACAAATATATATATATATATGAGAGAAGACCTTTACTATAGAGAGATTCAATAATTTTTTAACAGATTTCAGATATGGACAAAGATGCTACAGTTAAAAATAACAACAATTTAGCTCTTTAAGTTTTTTTTTGAATTTTTTTGCTTTTATTTGTAAACCTTGATTCACCAATTCACCTTAATCAAATTAGGTAAACATATGTAGATAAATGAATTTGTGGACTTCAAACTTATTTAATTTTACAATCTGATAATTCAAGTTTTATTGATTTTTAACTTCAAGTTCTCCTTTTTGTATGAAATGAATTTTATCTACAATATTTAAACTTGTCTTCCACAGAAGAAACTTATATAGCGATCAAGTACTTAATCCATGAAAAAACAGCTCACTCGTAAGGCGTATGTTCAATATTTCTTATTGGTCAAAAGGATTTTTGTTGCTGGCATTTCTTGAAATTTTAAGGAAAATATTTACAAGTCCCATATATATATATATATA